CTATCTTCAATATTGTAGTTGTAGAACGACGGCGTTAGGATTTGTAATTTTGCAATTTTCCAAAACTCAGAGAGTTCATAAAAAATCAGTCATGTGCCATTTTTATTATAGTATTCATTTTTGTTCTGTTCAAGAAAAAATTTGAAGGAAAATTTTGGAGCCATTTTTTAAAAACTTATTTTTTAAATTGCCTTTTTTTCATCATTTTAGAAGTTAAGAATAGTGGGTTATTGATTAGTAAATTAAAAATTTATTTATCTTATGCTAATAACGTGGTATTAGGTATTAAGGTATTGGCTAATGCCAAGGCCTTAAATCAGATGATAGGGAGATTAGAAAAACTTAGAGAATAGATACTTGAATTAAATAGGATAAGACCAAAGTGATGGAGTTTAAATGGGGCAGAAGGAAGAGTAAATGTGAGAAAAGTATATGGAAAGGAATTATATTAGTAACGTTGAATCATTATAAGTGTTTACGGTTCTGTCTTAACAAGGGAGGGGGCTACGAAAAACACATGGCAGAAATATGTAATGGTGGTTATGAAACAAATTGTATCTTCGTAATTGAAGTTTAGGAAGACGCTGAGAAAAGTTAAAAATGTTTCAATTGGCGAAAAATCAGGGTTTTCAACAAACATGAGACCTGCACCATTTTCTTGAAGGCCTTCAGACTACCCACCAACAAAATTTCATCAAAAATAATGGAGTTGTTTTTGAGAAAAAAAAGGTTTAAACAAAAATTTAAAATTACTTATATTTTTTACGCAACATTACGCGAAAAATACTTAAGTTTTTGAAAAATTGTAGATAATATTATTTAAAAATCTATCTTTAAAAAACAGATTGCATTAAAGGAAAAAATCTCTAAATTTAATATTTTAGTAGCAAGAAGACGCTAAAAATATTTTGAATTTTTTTCAATTAAAAAAAATTGTTTTCAACCAATATAAGACCTGCGCCATTCTCTTACACGTTCTTGAGACTATCCAGCAACACAATTTAATCAAAATCGATTGTGCCTTTGAAAATGTCCCAGGGGCTTAGTTCCCGCGCCATCCCCGAATTGCTCTGCAACAGAGGGAAGCAAGGTGTTCAAAACATCAACGTAGGTCTCTGCCATGATAGTGCCACACAAAACGGGGGGGAGGGTTGCAAGCCTCCTCCGTAAAAAAATACGAAGGGAGAACATGGGAAATGAAACAGTTTTTGTAAAAGCTTTGAAAATGTGTTGAATACTTCATATATAGTAGTACCTCCAATGAGTTGAGAAATACGCATTGTTTCAAGTTATTTCAGAATAATATTTATTTGGAAAAACATCTGTACTGTACTGATATGATTTATATTTTAATTGATGCGCTA